CAATATTCTTTTTTTTGGGGGGGGGGAGGAGCCATGCACTTTAACTGTCCTTTCAACGTAAGGTGTATATGCCACCTTTGACCTTCATGATACACCTTTAGGCACCAGGCAAAAACATTCCTCTTTAACCAAGCCTTTGGTTGACTGACTTTCAATGCCCTTTAAAAATGTGGGTTTTTGCAGGGAGCGTTATTGGGTTGTTCTGGTTTTTATTATGTATTTTGTGTTTTTATATGGTTATTTTATCCTGTGAACTGACCTGACACCTGCGGGTATAGGGCGGTATACAAATTTAATAAAGAAGAAGAAGAGGACTCATAAACCAGGAAAATCAACACACTATCATGCAGTGAAAGCTATGGAAATGTTATTTCTTTATGTAGAGAATTTGTAGCACCTCTCACCAGCCAAAAAGGCTCCCAGAACGGCTTGTGTATGATCAGTTAAAACAAGACAGTCCCTGCCTACAGGTTTACAATCTAAAAAAGACACAACTTACAAGGGGAAAGGGACAGGGCGGGAAGAGGAAAACCAAAAACACAGGCACCAGTTTCTAAACAATTGTTCCTGTAATGACCAGCCAGCACAGTTCAGGAGCAGGAGGTGCTTGGTGCAGTGGCAGAGGAAGGTAGGTGCGGGGTGTGCAGGCCGTCCCGGTTGTCATCGCTGAGGGGGTGGTGACAAAATGACAAAAATATGAGTTTAAAAAAGGATTTTTTAAAAAATTGGGCTCACGAAACTTTTTAGTTCAGTCAACAAACGTAACAAAACGCAGCTGGCACTGGGAGCCACACCGTAGCGGCTGGCACTTACCAAGGGGCCCGCAGCGTGCCTGAGCCATGCGTCTCTCCTGGGAGTGACGTGGTGGCTTGGGCGCCCGCAGGCTCCGTACTGCCTCCACCTCAATACAGCTGCACGCTTCCGTCACTGGGCTTTGTTGAAAATGGCTTCTCCATGTGAACCAGGAAGTTACCTTTCCAGACAACAGAACGACTCTTCTTTTCTTATCTCTGCAGCTGCGGTCTCCTGGATGACACGGACACCGTTAGGCCCTGGGTGCTGGCAACCCATGCTATGCCACTGGCTGCAGTCATTCTCAGCAGATGAAGTGTACTGGGTTAGGAGGGCTATTTAATCCCTCCATCCTCCTTTGATACTGAGTTAAAGGGCTGTTCCTCCCTTGACAGAGGCAGTATACTGGGTTGGAGGAGAGCAATTCAGCCTCCCCTTGACAGAGCTAATATATACTGTCTGGTTCAGAGGGCTCTATTTAATCCCTAACTGACAGAGGCAGCCTACTGGGTTAGAGGAGAGTGATTCAGTCCTCCCATGAAAGAGGCGATATACTGAGTTAAGAGGGCTGTTTAATGCCTCCCTTGACAGAGACAGGATACAGTACTGGGTTGGGCGGCGCCACCAAAGAGCTGCTCCTTCCCGGCTGCCCTCCTTCCCTCCCGCGTGTCGTCTCCTCCCCTGGTCACACGCGCTCCGCCACGGGCTCCACGCCGAGGCGACAGCCACGTCCCGGCTCTCTGTGTGACGAGGTTCCGAATGAGCCTGGAGCCCGCCAGGAGCAGCCGCCGCTCCCCGATAGCGGCTCTTTGATCTCTCCGAATTAGCACTCGCCTCCAAATGGGCCGCGATTGTTTTTTAATTAAGTTCCATTCAAACAGCTGCCACCGAGGCCGTTAGTATTCGGGGGAGGAGAGCGAGCCGCAATAACACTCTGGGATTATAAATCAGCCACGGGGGCTCCGGCTGCACGTTGTGACTGCAAACAGAGAGAAAACGCCACCCGTGGTGCGTGCATGGCGGGTTGGCTGCATCCCTCCCTGGTCTGGAGAAGGGAGGCGACTGCAATGGCAGGGGAGCCACACAAAAGGCTTCTCACAGAGCCCGGTGTAGGACCAAACACACAAATTGCAATAGTTTCTAGCAGCTTCAAAAACTTCCCTCCCTTTTTCTCCCAATTTCCCCCATCCCTCCCCAAAATGTCTATTTTGTTGGAATGCTAGGAGAGGATATATTTATTAGATATTATATTTCCTTCCTCGTGTTTGTGAGCTCAGCAGAGTGCATCCCTTTGTGTATTAAAAGGGAAACTTAGTTTTAGCCTTTTACTTTAAGCAATCCAGGTTGTCTTAAGGCAGACTGGATTTTCCCAATATTTCCCCCTTTTCTCCCCCTTAAAAAAACAACAATTTTCTTATTTATACCCCTCCCACTTGGCGGGAATAAATAATCACGCAATCCGTTTTGGAAAAAGTAAAAATAACATTTCCTCACTCAGAATACTTGTTGAAGAGTAACAGATGCAGCAGTTTTGTTCAGGCAGACTTAAAATGGTAATTCAGCTACAGTGACATACTTAGGCCTAGCTTAAAATGCAATCTGAGATAGGAGCTCAGACAGGCAGACGTTCTCACATTGCTGAGGGGATGGAAGGAGATGGGGAAAGACGTAAGAGAGTGTATCCAGGCAGGTAGGAGAATATATACCCGTAGCTATTCCCTCGCCCTGTTGGGGTATAGTGGGAGTGTCTCTCACAGAGTCCTCTCTAGCAAACTTACAGGAAATAGTCTGTGAGCTTCAGCTTCAGCTCCTGTCATGTGCCTCTCTAGCAAAACCCACATGTTGGTTTGACTGCTTTTTAAATATCCCACGTATTTCGGGGTAGCCAATGCCATGCAGATGCTGTTGGACTCCATCACCCATCATCCATGACCACCATCAATGGAGAGCATCATCTTAGCTGCCCTGGTTGCACTGCCCTCGCATGCTCTCACGTTCCAAAAGGTAAAGGTAAAGGGACCCCTGACAGTTAAGTCCAGTCGCGAACAACTCGGGTTGCAGCGCTCATCTCGCTTTACTGGCCAAGGGAGCCGGTGTCTGTCTGCAGACAGCTTCCGGGTCATGTGGCCAGCATGACTAAGCTGCTTCTGGCAAACCAGAGCGGCACATGGAAACGCCGTTTACCTTCCCGCCGGAGCGGTACCTATTTATCTACTTTCACTTTGACATGCTTTCAAACTGCTAGGTTGGCAGGAGCTCACCCCATTGCGGGGATTCGAACCGCTGACCTTCTGATCGGCAAGCCCTAGGCTCTGTGGTTTAGGCCACAGCGCCACCCGCATCCCCTCACGTTCCAAACCTCTGTTCAAAAGGGTCCAAGGTCTCTGTCTAATATGAAGCTAGAGCTTCCCTTGTCTTGTTTACGTAGTCATCCGATTCTCTGTCTTCCTCCATTGCTTTCATTCCTCCCTCAGCCATCTCTGCATCTGCGGAGTCCTCAGAGAAGGCTTCGTCAATTTCTTCTTGAAAGTTGGGTCTTGCTTTATGGACCCCGGAGTCAATGTAGCATTACTCTGCCAGAGCAGGGATGAAGCCTTAAAATTGTATGCATTTAGAGTCCACTCAGCACCAAAGTAACCCTGAGGCGATTAGAGACCATAAACGATGCCACCATTTAGGTCCTCGGCTAACTACATCCCCATGCTCTCACTTTCCATTGACTTCACTGGCCCCTCATGACATCCCCCCCCCCCTATATTTCCTGGGGATTCATGCTTCCCAGCCCCCACTCCCACCCCCCAATGATTCCTATTGAACCAACCCCAAAATAATAAAGTCTGCCCTTGTGGGAGAACCACTTGCAGCTATCATTCTGAAATTTGGCAACCGGCTTCATCACCTCAGAATGCTGACTATGTCTGCAAATTCCATTCAGTTTGGGCAGAAAATGAAAAAAAAAACCTTTAAAAAAAAGCAAGCCAACAAAATTTAAACCTGATCCTTAAAAACTGCATGAAACCCTGGCTACTTGCCTCTACAATTTGGCAAGCTTAATCCACCCTGGAGGGGTTGACCTGCCTGCAAAGTCCATCCACTTCTGTGAAAAGGGAAAAACATTATAAACATGCTTAGATTCCCCATTACAGTGAATGGGAAAGAACATAGCATCATTTTTATCACATTGAACTGAGAACGGAATAAATGCTTTCCAATGTTGCAGATTCAGAAATGAGTCAAATCTCATGACCGGTGTACATCCAAAATACAGTGGTACCTCGGGTTACATACGCTTCAGGTTACAGACTCTGCTAACCCAGAAACAGTGCTTCAGGTTAAGCTCTTTGCTTCAGGATAAGAACAGAAATCATGCTCCGGTGGCGCGGTAGCAGCAGGAGGCCCCATTAGCTAAAGTGGTGCTTCAGGTTAAGAACAGTTTCAGGTTAAGTGCGGACCTCCGGAACAAATTAAGTACTTAACCTGAGGTACCACTGTATGTAGTTTTTTGTGGGTTTGAGCCCCATGTTGGCCAAGGTTTCCTGCATTGCATTGGGTTGTACCAGATGACCCTTGTGGTCTCTTCCAACTCAACCACTCTACAGTTCTCTTCTTTTCCCCCAACATACCTCCTCCACCACAAAAACCCAACAGGTTTTTATCATCTTGGCAACTCCATAAACACACAAACGAACTTTTCAGAGCAGGGTGGAGAACTTCAGGCCCAGGGCCTAAATGCAGCCCTTCAGGCTCTCTACATAACCTTACAGACCCTGCTACACACCGGGAGTGTTTTTGCCTGGCTGGAATATATCCTTGAACTCTCTGATCATGCTTGCCTGGAGGATAGAGAAGGGTGTGTGAGGGTGTCTGGAAACTAGCGTCTCCTCCCCTAACATTCAACCTGGACACTGAGGTCCAGCTCCAGGGGCCTTCTGGCGATTCCCTCACTGTGAGAAGCGATGTTACAGGGAACCAGGCAGAGGGCCTTCTCGGTAGTGGCGCCCGCCCTGTGGAACACCCTCCCATCAGATGTCAAGGAAATAAACAACTACCTGACTTTTAGACGACATCTGAAGGCAACCCTGTATTTTTTAATGTTTAAGGTTTTTAATGTTTGAGGTCTTACTGTGTTATAATTACTTGGAAGCCGTCCAGAGTGGCTGAGGCAACCCAATAAGATAGGCATAATAATAATAATAATAATAATAATAATAATAATACAGTGACTCAGCGTGTCTGGCTGTTAACCAGAAGTTTGGTGGTTCGAGTCCACCACCCAGGGATGGCTATGGGCAGCATTCCTGCATTGCAGGGGGTTGGACTAGGTGACCCTTGGATCCCTCCGACTGTGTGAGTTATTATTATTATTATTATTGTTATTGTTATTACCTACTGTACAAAGGCCCTCATGAGGTTGCGCAGAAGGGCGTGTGGCCCTCACCCTGCAAAGGGTTTCCCCTCCCCTTGATTCTGAGTAGCAGGACCAGCAGTATTTCAGAACCATTCCTCCTGCTTGCCATCTCCTGGGGGCAGGGCTGAACTTTTAAGCAGCGCACAGGCACAAACTGGTGCATTAATCACGGCTCACATTTCAAACTCCCCCATCCCTCCCTTCTATGAGCAGCTCTGCTCTTTTGACTTTCAGCCGAAGGAAGGTCAGAGAGAGGACATTTCTCATTTGGATTTGCGGGTGCCAACGCAGAAGATTTGCTTGCCTCCGTCAAATTGTGGAGGTTGAAAAGCGGGGGGGGGGGGAGCACAGTCCTCTTCCCAACAGGCAGCTCAGGTGATCTATTCACCAATAACTCCTTTGTCTCAGGTTTAGGTGGATTAAATTTATACATCGCTTCCCATTAAAGTCCCAGTTTACAACCAAAGTGTGCGTGCAAATACACAAATACAGAGAGAAATAGACATACAACATACTTAGGGTTGCCATATTTCAAAAAGCCAGGACACCCCAAAAGTTGTTCAGCTTTGTTTTAGGAAGACCCCCAAACGGTTGAGTTTTTTTAGACAAACCCCAAAGTTGCTAAGCTTTTCTTTTTTTCCTTTTCTCTTTTCTTTTTTTACAAAAATGCCAAGAAATGCGATTTTTCAATTGACTCCAGGACAAAGCACTGCCTTTCGGAAATTCCAGTAAACATACTCTCCAACGTTTCTCCGATGAAAATAGGAAAGTCCTAAATAATAATAATAATAATAATAATAATAATATCATTTACACCCTGCTCATCTGACTGGGTTGCCTCAGCCACTCTGGGCAGCTTCCAAATATATAGAAACATGATAAATCATTAAACATTTTAAAAATTCTTATACAGGGCTGCCTTCAGATGTCCATACCCTCCAAGATTTCTCCGGTGAAAAGAGGAATGTCCTAAGGAAAAGAGGACATTCCAGGATCAAATCAGAAACCGGGACAGCTTCTGTAAATCCGAGACTGTCCTTGGAAAATAGGGACACTTGGAGGGTCTGATACAATACATTTTAAAATGCATACATTTTAACAGCAGCTGTAACAGCACAATGGCCTCTCAGCTCGTGGTTGGCTTAATTCCCGAATTTCCACTCACACACAAGTTAGTGATTTTTCATACACAACTACTTCATCCTCCTTGCAGGCCAGCAAGAGGCATGATCACAGCCCAAGGGCACATTCCAGCCAGGTAAAGGTGCTCTGCGAAGGTGTGGCTTGGGGAAGTAGGTGTGGCCTATGAAGGGGTGTGGCCTAGACAGAGGCCTGGAGGACCTCCTTTGTCCCCCAGTCCTGAGTTTTCCCACCCGCTCCTCTTCCTTTTTCCTCCTAAGAGAAGGAGTCGTCACTCTAGCCAGCCGACTCCGTAGCTGGCTGCCATTTTGAAAGCAGATCAGCCTGCCTGGCTCCTCGCTACAGCTTTAATTCCTCCCTAGGTGACTTCCTGGGGAAGTGGAACAAAATCCATGTTTTCCTGTTAAAAAATAATCATCATAATAAAGTAAAGCCATAAAGAGCCTCATCCCCACTGGAGATTTTCCGTTACCTTGTTGATTGATGACCCCCCCTTCCACTTTGCTCCCCCTGGACGCTGTGCGCAGCTACCCATCAGTCACCGGGCTTGAAATGCTTACCGTTTCCCTGACCTGCAGGGGGCCCATCTGTCATTCTCCATAATAAAACAGGAATGGAGGTTTAATAAAGGAATAAATAGCAGCGGATCACTCCGTAAAGATGCTATAACTTTTATTCCTGGCTATAAAAACGGCGGAGGATGCCGGTGGAGTCGGAGGCAAGTAAACAAAAAAGGAGGAGGTGCAACCAAGGCCTAGCCAAGGTGGACGGGAGGCTGGAGCATTTGCCCTGGAATTGCCAAAGGGGAAGGTGCTGAAAGGGGGGTGGGAATATTTGCAGCGGCCCTGGAAAAGCAACCCCGCTCAGCTCCAAAGTGGACCCCAAAGCATTTCCCCATTCAGAGTGAGGGCAGCATGGACCTAGGCGGCCACGCCATCACTCCGAGTTGCCTTTGCTTGCTCTCTGCAATGTCACTGCATCGCTGGATCTGATTGGCTACGTATTCCCAGTGTTACCATCAGATTCGCTGATGTGATTCCCGATTTGCTGGGCTCGTCTAGTGAAAGGCTGAGGCAGCAACACAACGGGGAAGAATGGTTATGCACAGGCACATCAAAATAAGGCACATACACAGAGAGGAATGAAGAGGGCAGAGAGAGTAGACAAAAGAGCCTGAAATTGTTTGGGAAGGACCCAGAGAAGGAGGAGACTTAGAGAGCTGTGGGAAGTCCTTGCAACTGCCTCATTGGGGCAAGACCTACTGGGAAGAGTTTCTGTGATCGCAAGGTCTGCACTGTGTTGGTCTCTTTGAAAAAAGAGTTAACTTCATGGACGCCTCATGTTTTATTGCTCGTGTTTTATTGCCTGACTCTGCCTCCTGACACCCATTGAGCTTCATGGCTGAGTGGGGATTCAAACCCTGGTCTCCCAGGGCTTAGTCCGACACTCTAACCACTATACCACACTGGCTTTCAGATGTGGGTGGCGGTCTCTCCCAGCTCTATCTTGGGATTGTGGGATTTGAACCCGGGACCCAGATGCTCCTCCACGGAGCTACTGCACTTCTTCCTGGTGTCACGCAAGCGGAGAAGAAGGCAGATCAGGACGGGAGGTGGCAAGGGCAATTGCCTGCTCTCATTGCAGTGTGAAAAGCCTGTAGATGGATGGCTCTAAAAGACACGAGGAGGATAAAGTCCTTACCCTTATAATCGCTGAGCATCGTCCTCTTAACCAGGAAGCCGATCCATAGTATGGATAATATCGCAGCACGCCTGCTGCTGGGGGGAGCAGGGAGGAAGCTGGCCACAAAGACAAATGGGCTAATTACCGTCCATGATCGCAGTGATATATTCCCAATTGTGGCCATCAACCCGACAGGAGGGTGGAGAAACACAACTTTAAGTTGCCTCTTCAAAGAGCGCGAAGGCTCAGTTGCTATAGAAATGCAGAGATATTCACACAGTTTGCATGTACCACACACACATCCCCCTCACCTTGACTTGGGAAGGACCAGCCTCCACCTGATAAGGAAGGAGGGGGCAGAATGCCGGATCGTACCAAGGCAGGTTGCAGGAGGGGCTGAGGAGAGAGACACAGCAGCTGTGATGATGGCCGCAACAACTAGATAGAGCTTCCATGTTCAAGGGCAGTCAACACGATAGCTAAATACCAGATACGGGAGTAGGGGCGTAGCAAGGGTTGCCAGTCCCCGGGGCCACACAGAGGGAGGGAAGCAGACAGAATATGCATGCGCATTCAGCTGCCTAATGGAGTCCTCCTCACCCAGATCATAGCCACAGAGATAGGAAAAGAAGAGTCACTTCATTGTCTGGAGAGGTCACTTCCTGCTTCGCACGGCGAAGATGTTTTCAACAGAGCTCAGCGCCGGAAGCGTGCAGCTGTATTGACATTTTGTGCCCCTAACAATTTTGCGCCTGGGGTGACTGCCCCTGCGCCCCCCTTCGGTGCTATGCCACTGTGCTGGAGAATAGGCCATGGGCGAGGAGCATATGTAGACTTGTGGGGTTTTCCAGAAACATCAGCCTAGCCGCAGTTGGAAACAGGACACTGGGGTAGGTGGACCTTTGATCTTGACTAGGGGTCAGCAAACATTTTCAGCAGGGGGCCAGTCCACTGTCCCTCAGACCTTGTGGAGGGGGCGGACTATATTGGGGGGGGCAAATTCCTATGCCCCACAAATAACCCAGAGATGCATTTTAAATAAAAAGACACATTCTACTCATGTAAAAACACACTGATTTCCGGACCGTCCGTGGGCCGGATTTAGAAAGCAATTGGGCCTGATCTGGCCCCCAGGCCTTAGTTTGCCTACCCATGATCTTGACCAAACACAGCAGCTCGTTTGCTCTTATGGGACAGGGGCATGTCAGCAGCATTCCTGATGGATGGATTTAATGTATTAGTTGCCCAGCACAAGGGAGTCTCTACACAGGGTTGCAAGCTGCCTGAAAGCTTCTTAAATTCCATCAGATACCTGGGTGAAAAGGAACATAAGAAGAACCATGCTGGATCAGGCCAAACAGGGTCTGGAGGGCCAGGAACGACATCCATTAATTCATTTCAACCTTTCTGCCAAAGCACCTGAGTTGATTTGCAGTTTTGAGAAGCAGATCAAATGATATAACACATAAAGTTTTCCAGAGAGGGGGCAGCCAGACTGTTGTTGTTGTTGTTGTTGACGTTGTCAAGGCTAGCCCACCCATGATGCAAAGCGAGGCAACAACCTCGGGCGGCAGGATCCACAGGGGCAACAAATGTGGCCTCCAAAAATTGCATCGCCTGCTCCCACTGCCACTGCAGCTGCGATGGTTGCTGTACATTTCTTGGCACTGCCTCCTTGGCAGCATGCCTCTTTGGCACTGCCACCTCTACAGTGGCCTCTTGGCGAATGTGAAGCACTGCTGGTCTCCTCTCACCTCTAGGGAGGAAATGGGAGGCTGCCCTATGTGGTCTCCTGGGCTTTGCATCCACCTGACATGATTCAGAACAGACCCTTTTCTCCCACAACAGTCTCTGATTCCCAGTTCAGCTGTCACATAAGGATGATTTGATTCCCCTGTCCCCAAGTTCCCTATGTAGATCTTCACAAAGCCCTTTGTTCCCATTGTAGATCTTTATTCCCACCCCCCCACCCCAATCTAGATCTTCAGTCACCCCTTCTTCCCTGGAAGTGGGGTGGGGGGGAGAGAGACGCCATGTTGTGGTTTGCCTCAGGTACCAAAATGCCTTGGAACTGCCCTAATTATTATTATCTTAAAAATCTGATTGCCTGCCAACCCACGGTTTTCTGAACAAAGGTTGAAGGCTGCCTTGAAAGAAAGTCTAAGGGAGCTGGGTTGGTTTATCCTGAGAGATGACATAATAACCACCATTAAATATTTGAAGGGCTGTCACAAAGATGATGGAGTGACATTGTTTTCTGCTGCCCTTTAGGGTCGGACCCAGACCAATGAATCCCAATTGCAGGAAAGGGGGTTTTCGCTCAACCTTAAGAGGATGTTCCTGACAGTATGAGCAGCTTGTCAGTGAAACAGACTGCCCCAGCTGCCGGTGAAAATCTCCTTTGCCAGAGGATTTGAAGCAGAAGCTGAATGGCCACATGTAGGTTCCTGTTCAGCTCAGATACACAGGAGCCTGTGATAGACCTGGCATCCTCCTCCATGGATCTCACAGGCTCTTTCCTTCTTCAAACAATCTACTTCCATCACAGTTTGTGGGAGTGAGTTCCATAAATTCACCACACCTTCCGACCAGGTCTGAAAGCTCCAGCTGGGTCAGAATGCAGCGGCTAGACTGGATGACAACATGTGACACTCATGCTAAAACATCAACACCTGCTGCCCAAATGCTACCAGGTCAACACCTTGGATACCCTAAAGACCACTTGAGGGTCCTTACATCCCAGCCTGGTCACTGAGATCATTCCAGTGTTTCTCAACCTGTGGGTCCCCAGATGTTGTTGGACTACAACTCCCATCATTCCTAGCCAGCATGATCAGTGGTCAGGGGTGATGGGAGTTGTAGTCCAACAACATCTGGGGACCCACATGTTGAGAACCGCTGATTCAGAGGAACACTGCTAGTTGTTCCCCATGTTACAAAGACCCGACTGGCTTCAACTAGAAGTCTCTTGGCAGTTTTTCTTATACAATTACAGACCTATGCAGTTGTTGATTTTCCCCCCCTTGAGCAGCCAGTCACTGGGAGGATTGTTCTGTACTGTTTTTAATGCTTGCTTTCTTTTTTTGCTAAAATATTTTTTTATATTGCTCTGCACAGCCCTGACATTTTATGAGGGTGGTTATAAATACTTTTATAAATAAAGCAACATAGAGATATGCTCTCTTTCCTTGGCATATCAAATAAGTCTAGCTTTTTCTGAATTCTAGCTTTTATTTTATTTTATTCTAAAAAAAACTGCAACAAAATGTTGCCGTTTGGCCCACAGGGCGCCCTATCTATTCCATTCTCCTTTTTCTCCTTCCCCAACAGGAAGTTGCCCATAAACCTTTGCCTTTGATCACAAGAAGCCCAAAACATTCCAGCCGTTCCTTCTGGAGAAGGTGTTTCTCCATCCCTTGGGCTGCCTGAAACCGTTCTCTTCTGCATCCCTTTCAGCTTCATGTTACGGTACTTATTTTTTAATTTTGGGGGGAGATTGGGCAATCAGAACCGTACATGGTTTTCATAATGTGGCTGCAGAACAGAACAGCCCACACAGAATATTTATACCTCCTAATTATGACGGCTTCTGTTATTAGTAGACGGGGGTGGGGGTTGGTAATTAAACAAGTCCAGGCTTCAAGACCACCTGAACGAAACAGGGAAGGAAGAATCTCTAGATCCTGGGACTCTAAGATCAGGTGCTAGAAACTGGGGGCTAAGATGTCAGGGATGCGCAGGTGCCGGTATGTAGATGGTTGCTGCTTTGTTTTCTTGTGTTAAATAGAGAACGAAAGACAAAGAGAGCTGACCCAAATTTTCAAGGCATTAACTACACGGACGGCGAATTATATACATACAGGGAGTGTCTCTGCGTAACTGTGGCTCCATTCTGCCACCTAGTGTCCGATGTACATGGCAGCCCAGGCCCTAACTCAGAGCTGGGCAGAGGGCCAGCTGTTTTGGCAGAGCCTCCCTTAAGGCTTCTGTTCCAGATGTGCAGAAGCTTTTGCCCCAAACACACCTGAAATAGGAGGAGGTTGCATGCATGCAATGGTGGCTGTGTTAGCAGAAAGATGCTCACGCTTTAACCCCGGAGAGTTTCGAAGCCAGTATTGGCTTGAACACTTTCCTTTCTTTCTTTTTTAATGAAGAAATCCAAATATCTTTTGCATGCACAATGAAAGGAAGTTGAGCAATTAGCTCTCACACCTGGCTTGGACACAGTACCTAAGAATAGTCTTGTAACTGGGAGAAGGCTCCATTTCGTACAACAGCAGTGGGGGGGGGGGTTGGAGAGAACCTTTCCTGCTCGAGGGCCGCTTTGTCTTCGGGGCAACTTTCCGAGGGCCACATGCCAGGGCCTGGTGAAGCCGGAAGCAAAAGTGGGTGGAGCAATGAATGGAATTTTTGCCCTTGTGCAGAAGGATAGTTTCAACACATGTCATTTTCACCCCCCATAATTTTTTGTTCGTTTTCAAACAATTTAACCAATTCCATTCCATTTCAATCCAGTACCTGAAGTCCCATCCTTATTTCCATGATGCTTCTAATTCAAATCATTTATCTCCTGTCATAAATGGAATATTTCTCTAAAACATATACCCTACATTGGATTCCTTTATCATTCTCGTACCTTAATTTATATTTCAAGACCTGCCTGCCATTTCATTTGGCTATAATATTTTCTCAGGTCCTCGGGGGTCCCTTCCAACTCTACGATTCTTTGATCCTAGGTCCAGTCGAGGTGGGTGGAGTCAGTCCAGGACCCGGAGGCTGAAAAGCCTGCCCCTGGCATTTCAGGGATTTGCAGCCACACAGAGATCCAGCAAGTCTTGCCCTGAAAAGATGTTCTGCTTCTGCACCCTGGAATGGATCATGCTGAGAACTGCTATCTCTAGGATGTGTTTCCTGCTTGGCAGGGGGTTGGACTCGATGGCCCTTGTGGTCTCTTCCAACTCTATGATTCTATGATTCTATGATTCTAGGAGCGACACAGAAATTGTTGTTACCCTTCTTTTTCCTTAACTTCCAGCGACAGTGCTTTGCATACCTAACACTTTCCCTGCAAGGCTTAATTTTTGATGGGGTGCGATTTTGTTTGGTCTCCACGCATCAGGCAAAAGAGGTCACATATTATGCTTGCTTATTTGCAGAGGGTCTTCTTATGCGGGTTTCTTCTTACTGAAAAGAGGAGGGGCGGGGAAAGGAAAGGGAGGTGGGGAAACAAGATGGGCAGATATATGTTGTCATTCCTCCAATAGAGGTAAATCGGTCGGGATCAATAATTCAACACATTCCAAACAGGTTGGTTTGTCCCAGGAGTAATCCGTCTTAATAGTCGCTCGTGGAGATGATAAGTGGTGAATAATTTAGCGTGCACACACGCACACCCAAACACACGCGCGCCGGCACAGGCGCTTCCCCGCTGTAATTAAAGCGTGTGAAACTTCGTTTGTTATACAAAATTATTGCTGAATAATTCAGATCCTCAGTAATTACTAAACGGCGGAGGAATTCGCCAGCAGAAAGGTGCCCCTTCGGAGGCTGAGTCTAGGAGGGATTTGCAACACAGCCAATTACCTCTGAACCGCGCGTATGATTTAAACCCACCGTGACTTGGGGATTTTCAGACATCTCCAATCTGATTTTTTTTTTAAAGCTTTCATCTATTTATCTTAAACTAATGATTCCTAATATTGTCCTAGGCACTGTCTAAATTAAATACAGACAGAACTATCCCGGCATAATTTACACCAGGGAGGAGGGGGGCGGTAAATTACGCTGGTGTAAACTGTTCCTGCTCCCAACCCCGTTCAGGAGCGTGGCTGGCCCAAGCCTGGCAGACCTGCTATGATCTCACCATCGCTGTTTCACCAGAAGGAGTGGCGAAGGTTTCCTCAGCTATGCATAAAACCTTCCAAGCGATACAAGGCAAGGAGGAAATCAAGATGCCGGCAAATTCTTTCTTTTTTTGTAGTATAATTTTTTTATTAAATTATTCAACCGTTTTCACAATCATCTTCACCTCAGATAGTGACATTGTTTCATAAATTGACTTCCCACCCCCTCACACTCCTACTTAAACTTTTATATTTGTATCTATTACCGAAAGCTTCTCTATTACACTTATTCTATCATTTTCCTTCTGTTGCTCTTATCTCGAATCCTGCCCACAGTTTTATTTGACTGTAGTATTTTTTAAAAAAAAATATTCCACAAAAGGCCTTCATTCGAAACGCTGGCAAATTCATACAAAAGTGTTTCCGTGACACCAGTTCACTCTAAGGTGGTCCATTACGGTGAATGGGTCAGTCACCGACTGCCCCCCACCTGCCTATCTTCTTACTTTCAATAATCCCAGGGGGTGGTCCTGCCGGTCAACCTGCCTCCTCAGTGTTGGCCCTTGCAGAACTCAGAAGGGAGGAAGAGAAGGATGGGGGACAAACCTAGACTTGGTTGCCTCTGCCTGTCACTGATTCTGGCTCCACCTCTCTCACCGGCCTTCCTTTCATCCGCCCTGCCAGTTCCAAAGGTCGCCAGCCCTGACTGCCCCATAGGGCTCATGTCAGGATGTCCACATCCTCATTTCCCACCATCACTTCCCCATTATTTACACCCTGGCAACTGTCTCCGGCTTTCAAAGTTCCCGGCAAGTCGCTGGCATGAAAAGCCCTTTGCTTCCTCTCTCCTGCTGAGGAAAGGAGAAGATGAGCACACATTTCTTGTTTTTCTTTCCGCCTTCCTTATCTTATAAGAACATTCGCTCGCCTCTCGCAGGCAGTCGGGTCAACAACAGCATCACCCTCACAAGACACAGCCTGACTCTGCATCACAACCATGGGCAATTGTGTGAATATGGTGAGTCCTGCGTCTCAGTGCTGCCCTTCTTCTTCTTCTTCTTCGTCTTCTTCTTCTTCTTCTTCTGTGATCACTTGTAGCCGAGTAAGATTGTCTTCCATAACCACGGTTTTAAGAGTGAGTCCGTAAGTGACTGTGGAGGCCAATTCTGGATCCATTTCTCTTAGCACATTTCTCCCTTTCATCCTGAGCATCTTCAAAGTCAATGACACCTTTCGTAAGGGCTGTTCTCCAACTGGAGCACTCGCAGGCCAGTGTTTCCCTGTTGTCGCTCTTATGGAAGTCTAGACTCTAGAACCATTCCCCTTTAAATAGGGGGTCCACTAATAAGACCATTAAATGGGACTGAGTCTGATTTCAGTCACTTCAAAAATGTGGCCCTCTGTTCTGCTGTGTCTGGGGTCCTAGACGTCCAACCTTAAGCCCTGCACTGACAGTACCATTTCAGGGTCTTCCTACTAATGCTGAGCTGAAAGGTTCTAAAGAAAAAAAGAAAAGTTTTAGGCTTGAATTTGAGGTGGGTGAGAAGTCATCAGCAAAAGAGAGGCTGAAACAGCCTTCCTATTTGTGGCAGGGGGCAATGTTATTCTGGGACAGGGTGGAGAACTTTTCCCCCAGCTTGAGGGTCTTTCTGGGCAACCTTCCCGGTGGTGGCTGGAGATGGAAGCGAAAGAGGGCAGGGAAACATGGTAATTTCCACCTTGATAAAGTAGGTTAGGTTCAACATGCACCTCCACAACCTTCTCTATCCTGTGTAGAAGGAAAGCAAGAGGTGTCCTCAGAGTTAAGGACACGTTCAACTGACAGATAAAGGATCCAATGAAATCAGGCCCCAGTTAGCTGCCTCTGCCAATCAGAACAGGCAGCACCATGCTGGAGAGAGTGGGGCCAGGGATGGGACTCAGGGTTGCTGTTGGCATCAGTCTGTCTCAAGGGATAATAATAATAATAATAATAATAATAATAATAATTTATTATTTATACCCCTCCCATCTGACTGGGCTTCCCCAGCCACTCTGAGCAGCTTCCAACAAAATATTAAAATACCGTAATACATCAAACATTAAAAGCCTCACTAAACAGGGCTGCCTTCAGATGTCTTCTAAAAGTCTGGTATTTGTTCTTCTCTTTGACATCTGGTGGGAGGGCATTCCACGGGGAGGGTGCCACTACCGAGAAGGCCCTCTGCCTGGTTCCCTGTAATTTGGCTTCTCGCAGCAAGGGAACTGCCAGAAGGCCCTCGGCACTGGACCTCAGTGTCCGGGCAGAACGATGCGGGTGGAGACGCTCCCTCAGGTATACTGGACCGAGGCCGTTTAGGGCTTTAAAGGTCAGCACCAACACTTTGAATTGTGTTCGGAAACATACAATGGAGTTCGCCTCCGGGTGCAAAGTCAATCCGCAGGAGAATCACAGCACCTGCTGTGGCTGCAGAGACCGGTAACTCGTAACAGCTTCCTCCTGTGTTGTTTTTGCTGCGTTAGCAGCACTGATGTAACCTCTCAGGGGTGCAAGTCTGGGCAGTGTGCATGAACGTCCTGGGCTGCCCAAATGACAAGACGACCCCCCTCTTTCCTTGCTGATGTGGTCCAAAGAAAAGCAGAGCAATATGTTTGACACCAGCTTGGCTGCAGGAGTTGCTAGAAGGAGGGATACTCCATGTTTATGTAGGGCTTGCTCCTTAGCCTATTCTTCCCCAAAGATGACCCACAAGGCAGCAGGTACAGATTTTTATTCACGGTTTACTCTCACGAATGAATGTAGCCACAAGGCAGCAGAGGTTTAGCTACGGAGTTTTCCTTCTCCTTGATTGACAGGTTGACAAGCCCCATCTGCCCCTCACTTCCCTCTCCACAGCAGAAGCCACCTTCAGCGCAAAGCAGACTCAGTATAAAGCAGATATATTTGTTCAAGATTGTAGTATATTGGGTGATTTAGTGCTTTTAAATTGGGTTTTAAGAGGATCTTTTACGTGCCATGAGAGAGAAAGATGGAAGGAGGAAAAACGTCTTGCTGAGCCCCCACCCCCCACCCCCTGCTCTGGAAATAACAATATTTATATAAACTAACAAGAAAGCCAGAGAAAGAGGCTGAGCAATCAATCCATAAACACTGAAATATCAATATAGAAAATGACCCTGTTATACGACATCGTTCAAGGCAGCAAACTGCATCGCTCTTGACGACACCCTCCTTAATTTCTGCAGCTAAATTTGCAAGTAAAGCCACTTTGGGTACAATGGCTGGGCTGCTCCGGCAGGGTTCGGGTTTTTGTCTCAAGGATCGCAGAACTGTAGCAATGGGAGGGAGCCCGAGGGTCATCTAGCCCAACCCCCTGGAAAGTCTTTGACACACTGCATAATCCGCTTGCGAAATTTGTTGTTATAAGGTATGCTATTCATAGACTCATAGAACCATAGAATCATAAGAGTCGGAAGGGAATCTGAGGGTCATCTAGTCTAACCCCCTGTGATGCAGGAATATCTAGCTGTCCCTTATGGGAATCGAACCTGTGACCTTGTTGTTATCAGCACCAGGCTTAGTCTAACCAACGGAGCTGTAGCAGTCATCAGCCTATAAGGGAAAAGGAGGTTTGCTAGACAAATTCTCAGAGAATAAGTCTATCAATGTTTTCTAAGTACAAGATAGGAACATAGGGAGATGCCTTACATGGAGTCAGACTATTGGTCCAGCGACCTCAGTACTAGGGACGTGGGTGGCGCTGTGAGTTAAACCACAGAGCCTAGGACTTGCCGATCAGAAGGTCGGTGGTTCGAATCCCCGCGACGGGGTGAGCTCCTGTTGCTCGGTCCCTGCTCCTGCCAACCTAGCAGTTCAAAAGCACGTCAAAGAGCAAGTAGATAAATAGGTACCACTCTGGCAGGAAGGTAAACGGCGTTTCCGTGCGCTGCTCTGGTTCGCCAGAAGCGGCTTAGTCATGCTGGCCACATGACCCGGAAGCTGTACGCCAGCTCCCTCGGCCAATAAAGCGAGATGAGCAACCCCAGAGTCGGCCACGACTGGACCTAATGGTCAGGGGTCCCTTTACCTTTACCTTTACCTCAGTATTGCCTGCACTGACCGGCAGCAGCTGTCCAGGGTTTCAGACAGAGAGCGTCAGCCCTACCTAGAGATGCCACTGGGGACTGAACAGAGATCTTCTGCATGCACAGCAGCTGCTCTGCCACTGAGCGATGGCCTTCCTCTCTCTTCCTCCATCTTCAGAGGAAGTTTACCTCCAATTACCGGCAGGGGAGGCCTGTTGCTCGTGGGCTTCCCTGGGGGGCGGGGCACCTGACTGGTCGCTGTGCAAAACAGCACACAGGAATATTGTTGATCTTTGGTCTAGAACAAGCCAGGCTCGCTTGCTGGTCTAATTGCTCCAGGGCTGCTTCTGAGTCTTTATTACAACGTGGCTCCTTTCTTTATGCTGTCCTCTGTATTTTACTGATTTTATTGAGTTTGCAATTTAGCCATTGTACTGTCTTTTAACGATCCCACCCTTTGAAATCCTTTGGAAGCCAGCTTGAGATCTTTTCAAAAATGAAAAGATGGGAGTTTGCAATGTTTCGAATGAATAAAATCAGAGGGAAGGAAGGAAGGAAGGAGTTGGAATTGGGGGTGCAAAGGAAGAAAGAGGAAGAGCGCTTCCAGGCGACCTGTTTATTGAGCATTCATCCTGATTTATTTGCCCGGGAGATTAGATGACGTCGGAGCATTTGCCTGTGGGGAAGTTATGCAACGTCGTATCATCACACAATCACTATGCCACACCTTCCCAGTGAATTTCCTTATTGCAAGGAGTCTGGTCTTTGGGGAAAGTGGATTTGTTCAGAGCCAAATCCACTTTAACTTTGGCAACCTGAATCTGCCAGTATGTGACAGAAGCCTCACCTCTATTACAGTGGTACCTTGGGTTACAGACGCTTCAGGTTACATACGCTTCAGGTTACAGACTCCGCTAACCCAGAAATACTACCTCAGGTTAAGAACTTTGCTTCAGGATGAGAACAGAAATCGTGTGGCAGAGGCAGCGGGAGGCTCTATTAGCTAAAGTGGGAGCTCAGGTTAAGAACAGACCTCCAAAACGAATTAAGTTCTTAACCCAAGGTACCACTGTATACAGTGTAAGCACGGTTATACTATTTAAAGAAGAAAGAATCATGGGAACTGTAGTTCGTAAAGGGTGCTGAGGGTCCTGAAGAGATCCCACCCACATTCCCCTCACAGGACTACAGCATGCAGAGTTCCCTGGGGAGAGGGAGCAATTGTTGCACCACTCCTCGAATTTTCACTCTGTGGGGGGATCCAAGGGGCTCCTAACAAGTCTCAGCACCCATAAGAAAATGTGCTGCTTTCAGCTGAGCAGTTGATCCGTCAATCACTCCCTAGTTTTACATATGCACTCATGGGGTCTGAACTGGCAGTGATTGACCAGGAACAAGACCTTTGGGGTCATACTGGACAGCTCACAATCATAGAATTCACAAGGGTCATCTAGTTCAACTTCCTGCAATGCAAGAACCACAGCTAAATAAAAATTATTATTATTATTATTAAATAATTTATTATTTATAACCCGCCCATCTGGCTGGGTTTCCCCAGCCACTCTGGGCAACTCCCAACAGAATATTAAAACATGATAAGACATCAAACATTTAAAACTTCCCTAAACAGGGCTGCCTTCAGATGTCTTCTAAAAGTCAAATAGTTGTTTATTTCCTTGACATCCGGTGGAAGGGCGTTCCACAGGGCGGGTGCCACTACCGAGAAGGCCCTCTACCTGGCTCCCTGTAACCTCACTTCTCGCAGTGAGGGAACCGCCAGAAGGCCCTCGGCGCTGGGCCCTTGCAGATGGCCAACCAACCTCTTCTTTAAAAACCCCAACCATTGAGGGATTCCATTTCACTGTTGAACAGCTCTTACCCTCAGAAAGTTCTTCCCAATGTTTAGTCAGAATCTACTTTCTTGGAATTTGAATCTGTTGATTCAGATCCTACCCTCTGGAGCAGCAGAAAACAAGCTTGCACCCATCTTCCATGTGACAGCCTTTCAGCTATTTGAAGGTGGCTATTGTACCACCTCTCAGTCTTCTCTTCTCCAGGCTAAATATACCTGACTCCCTCAACCATTCCTCATAAGGCTTGGCTTCCAGACCCTTCCACCCTCCTCTGCACACGCTCTAGCTTGTCAATATTTTCTTAAACTGCGGTGTCCAGAACTGGACGCAGTACTTGATGAAGGTGTTGGCTGTGCAGCAGCTGTGGGGAAAAAAGGTGAATTCCATGCAAGGGATCATTAGGAAAGAAATTGAAAATTAAGCTGCCAATATCACAATGCCTTTGTACAAATCTATGGTGATGCCACACATGGAATACTCTGTACAGGTCGAAAAGTATGCTGTGGAGATGGGGGCAAGGTTCAGAAAAGAGCAAGATAAATAATCAAGGGGTTGGATGAAGGCAAGTTACAACATATTGGGCTTTTTAGCATAGAAGAAAAGCCAAGCTGGAGGGGAGAACACAAGAGGTGTGGGAAGAGAGCACAGACAAGATGTTTTCTTCCTTTTCCGCAACACAAGAATTCAGGAATATCCTCGGAAGCTGGAAGCTTCCTAGAATTGTAGACATTACATAGAATCATAGACATTCGACCATCTAGTCCAACCCCCTGCAATGCCGGAATGTGCAGCTATCCCATAAGGGGCTCAAACCTGCAACCTTGGTGTTATCAGCACCATGTTCTAACCGACTGAGCTATCCAAGACAGACCAAAGAAAATACTACTTCACACAGTGACTAGTTCAAGTATGAAATCTGCTCCCATAAGAGGCAGCAATAGCCATGAACTTGGGTGGCTGAGCGTTAGATAAAACCCATGGAGTATTCAGCTATCAACTCGTCATGATGGCCATGCGCTCTGTCCTCTGTCGAAGGCAATATGTCTCTGAATGCCACTTTCTGACAATCAGCAGTGGGGAGAGCTGATGTTGCACTCAGGGCTTCTCATCTGCATCTGGTGGGGGAAGAAAATCTTGCATTTGTATGTTGAGAGAGAGAGAGAGAGAAAGGAGAAAGGAATGGAGGAGGGAGGGAGGGAAAGGAAGGAAGGAAGGAAGGAAGGAAGGAAGGAAGGAAGGAGAGGGAGGGAGGGAGGGAGGGAGGAAGGAAGGGAGGGAGGGAGGGAGGGAGGGAAAGGCAGGAAGGAAGGACAGAGGGAAGGAGGGAGGGAAAGGAAGGAAGGAAGGAAGGAAGGAGGGAAGGAGGGAAAGAGAGAGAGAGAGAGAGAGAGAGAGAGAGACTTAGGCTAGCTTTAACCAAAGTCTGGTTGAGGAAGAGTTGGATGAGACCAGCTAGGCATCTCATTCCAATTCAACCCTGCAATCTTATCTGAATCTCAGGAGACCTAGTGAAAAATTGTTCCATCTTCGTTCACACTAGGAAGGAGATCCCAAGGGTGCAGGAAGGAAGATTATTATATTTATAAAATAGCCACTCTTCACACGCTGAGGCGATTGGGGGGGAATATAAATGAAACCATTTTCATTCAGCAACCAGTATGCAGACCTAAATCAGCGCTTAATTTCTACAAATTAGAAATAACAGGCCTTCAGTTTGCCTGGAAACCTCCAGTCTCTGATCACCAGAGTCTCTTTAGAGAGGAAAACTGTGTATTAGCAATGAGAAAAAAATGCATTCTGCTTTGTTCAGCTCTGACTTAATAGGGTTGAGCACTTTCTAAAGCATACTATTTAAAAAAAGAAAGAAGCACAAAGGCTAAGGCTGCAAGCCTGTAGCCACTAATCTCAAAAGACATGTGTAATTTGCACTGTAAGAGAATGATCTAGCGCAAGGGTTTCCAAACTTGCCCCCTCCCCGCAACCACTTGAAAATTACCGAGGGTCTTAGCGGACCACTTAATGTTTTATCTGCCCATTGTAGCAATTGTAATGGACTGTGCTGGGTGATTTATAATAGTATTTTATTGCTCCTTTTAGGCTATAGTCAACTAATGTTTACTCAGAGTAGACCCACTGAAATTAATAACTATGGCTAATGTAGATCTATTAATTTCCAATGGGTCTACTCCAAGTAAAGGTTTAGTTAACTATAACTATTTTTTGTTTTGCATTTCAGTGTGGATTCAAACTGTAACACAATAAATACAAGAAATGGAAGAAGCAATGAAAATGTAATTAAAAATCAATATAAATATTAACCTGATAGGTGTGCTATCTCCCATCTACTACCGCAAATTCACAGACTGAGGCTGGATCTATACAGATTTGTTAAAAAAAACTGCTATGAAAAAACCACTATGGAAAAATATAGCTCCCAGTGCAATTTACCATTGACTTTGGATCGCTGCTCTACAGCGCCATCTGGTTTCACATTTTTATAACACATTTATAATGTTATAATTGACCTGTGTAGTGGAGTCCACTGTGTGAATGAATCTCTTGTTGGTTTATTTGGGAATCCCTAATCTAGGAGTGTTTTAGTTTGAATCTTGTCTCTGCCAAGCACCCAATAGGTAGCCTTGGTCAAACCTCAGTTCTCCCCTTCACCACATCTGTCATTTGAGGAAAATAACAGCAGCCTACCATGTGCTCCATGTCGATTTCATGTCTTATAAATTAAGTCAAACCTGTTCCATTTCTGCATTTGTTAGATTTTTTATAAAAAATGCATGAAAATGAGATTTAAAAATATGTATTTACTAGGGGTGTGCAAGGGCCTAAGATTTGCCTTGAATCTGTGCTTTTAAATAATAATAAAACCCAATCTATTTCTGAAGCACTCTGTTTTCTCCTTGATCTGTGATTTAAGTTCCAAATCACTCTCTATATAATATAGAATATAATAATATAATATAAGTTCTATGTTCCTCACTCGTTCTTATGGCAGATCTAAAACTATCTATGCTTTCCTTCTTTTGGTATAAGCAGATGAAATTTGCAGGTACAGGAGCTCCACTCCTCAGTGGATTACACCTGCCAAATAGCAGGCAAATAGGTTCAGGAGCCTTGAAATAGATGAGGTTAAAAAGGGATTACCGTATTTTTCTGTGTATAACATGCCCCCATGTATAAGATGGCCCCTATTTGGGGGGACTCCAAATTAAGAAAATGGAGGGAGATTGCCCAGAGTTGTTGAGCTCTTTTTTTTTTATTATTGAGATTTTCACAAAAAAACAGAAATCATATAACAGAAGAAAAAAAGGCATATAAGAATAGACAATGAACACTCTTATCTATCAGTGTTTAGTGTCATTCACTTATTTACACTGTGTGACCTCCCTCCCCTCCTGCTGCGGTTTTCTTACATTTTTTCTTCTCCTGCAGTTTCTATGTCAAAAATTTACGCATAACAAGGATTATGTTAAGCCTGCTGTAGTTTTTATTTTTTTTTCTTTTCTTTTCTTTTTTTTTTTATAATATTTATTGTTTTTACAAAAACAAATTCCAAAAAATGTGGAAAAATACAAAAATTCGACAAACAGAAAACAACAATACCCATAACAAAAAACAAACATAGATAACAATATCCATAACACAAAAAGAAAAAGGAAAAAAAGAAAAAAAGACAGAAAAATTTAAAAAGTAATATACCTTCATTTAACCTTTTTATCATTACCTAATTCTTTGACTTCCCCGCATCTCCCCGCTTGTATTTCCATTTAAAAACTCCTTTCAGCAAATCCTTACCCTCCTTTCTTTATCTTAACTCAAAGTTAATCTATTTATATATAAATATTACAGCTTTATCCATCAAATATTCCATACTCTTAATCACAAGACTTTTGCCAATACCAGTTATTTTCAGTCAGACCTCAATTTAACATTCATTAATTTTATAGTATTTCTGTAGATAGTCTTTAAATTTCTTCCAATCTTCTTCCACCGACTCTTCTCCCTGGTCACGGATTCTGCCAGTCATCTCAGCCAGTTCCATATATTCGATTACCTTCGTCTGCCATTCTTCCAGAGTGGGTAAATCTTGTGTCTTCCAATACTTTGCGATGAGTATTCTTGCTGCTGTTGTTGCGTACATAAAGAAAGTTCTGTCCTTTTTAACACCAATTGGCCGACTATGCCCAGGAGAAAGGCCTCTGGTTTCTTAGGAAAGGTATATTTGAATACCTTTTTATTTCATTATATATCATTTCCCAGAAAGCCTTAATCTTTGGGCACGTCCACCAAAGGTGAAAGAATGTACCTTCAGTTTCTTTACATTTCCAACATTTATTATCGGGCAAGTGATAGATTTTTGCAAGCTTGACTGGGGTCATGTACCACCTGTACACCATTTTCATTATATTCTCTTTTAAAGCATTACATGCTGTAAACTTCGTATCTGTGGTCCATAACCGTTCCCAGTCCGCAAACATAATATTATGTCCAACATCCTGTGCCCATTTAATCATAGCAGATTTTACCGTTTCATCCTGAGTATTCCATTTTAGCAGCAAGTTATACATTCTTGAAAGTGTTTTAGTTTTGGGATCTAGCAGTTCTGTTTCCAACTTTGATTTTTCCACCTGGAAGCCAATTTTTCTATCCAAATTATAGTGTAGTTTTTAATTTACCACAATTACTCTCAATATAGGTCACAAATTTACTCCACTCTTCATTAAACTTTGTTTCTTTTTGGTGTCTGATTTTGTTTGTCATTCTTGCCAATTCTGCGTATTCGAATAATTTTGTTTGCCAATCCGTAATCGTGGGAATTTCCACTGATTTCCATTTTTGAGCTATTAATATCCTAGCTGCCGTTGTCGCATACTGAAATAAGTTTTGGTCTTTCCTTTTGATTTCATCCCCAATTATTCCTAAGAGGAGTGCCTCTGGTTTTTTTGAAAAGGTGTACCTAAAATTTTTTTTTAATTCATTATAAATGAGCTCCCAAAATTTTTTGATTTTGTCACACGCCCACCACATGTGGTAAAAATCCCCCTCCTTCTGCTTGCATCTCCAACACATTTTGTTTCCGCTTTTATACATTTTATCCAATTTTACTGGTGTGATATACCAACGATACATCATTTTCTCTAGGTTTTCCCTTAATGTGACACACCCTGTGAATTTCATTCCTCTGTTCCATAACCTCTCCCATTTTTCATACTCTATATTATGTCCTAAGTCCATGGCCCATTTTGTCATTACCTCCTTTACTTCTTCGTCTTTTGTGTCCCATTCTAACAACAAATTATACATCTTAGCTAACAGTTTGGTTTTCCCTTCTAATACCTCTGTCTGGTATCTTGATTTTTTCTCGTTCATCCCCAATTTTTTATCCTCATTCCAAAGTGCATTTATCTGATGGTATTGCAACCAGCCTGTTAGTCTGTCTTTCAGTTCATCATATGGTTTAATCTTCCAAACTTTTTCTGTTTTAACCAGTATGTCTTCATATGTTAGCCTTTTTGCTTCCATATTTACCTTTTTAATTGTTAGAATGTCTGTCGGGGATAGCCACCAAGGAGTGTTCTTTTCTAAAAGTTTCTTATTTTTTTCCCAAATTTCAAGCAATGTTCCTCTGAAAATATGATTGGAGAATCCTTTATGGACCTTTCCTTTATTGAGCCACAAGTAAGCATGCCAACCATATCTATTGTTAAAGCCTTCTAAGTCTAACAGATCTAAATTCTCTAGGGTAATCCATTCTTTAAGCCAACATAGGCTGGAGGCCTCATAGTATAATCTTAGGTTTGGCACAGCAAAGCCCCCTCTTTCCCTCCTGTCTGTTAATATTTGAAATTTAATTCTTGGCCTTTTTGCCTGCCATATAAATTTTGAAAGACTTTTTTGCCATTCCTTAAAAATCGCGGATCCCCTAATCACCGGAATGGTTTGAAATAAGAACAGCATTTTTGGGAGGATATTCATTTTGATTGCCGCCATCCTTCCAGACCATGAAAGTTTTAATCTATTCCATATTTCCAGATCTTTTTTAATCTCTTTCCACATAGGTGTATAATTATCACTAATTAGATTGATATTTTTTGAAGTTAACCATATACCTAAGTATTTGACTTTTTTTGAGACCTTAATTCCACATTCCTGTTCTATGTTCTCTTTTGTATTCCTATCTATAGTTTTCACCAACATTTTAGTCTTTGTTTTATTTAGTTTGAAACCTGATACCTTACCGAATTCATCTAATTGTTCCAACACTTTACCGATGCTTATTTGTGGTTCTTCTAATGATAACACTAGGTCATCTGCATAAGCTTTCAACTTATATTCCTTTGTTCCGACTCTAATGCCCCGTATCTCTGGCGTGTATCTCACCTTATTCGCTATGACCTCTAGAACCATTATGAATAGTAAAGGGGAGAGAGGGCAACCTTGTCTTGTTCCTTTCATAATGCTAAATGTGTCTGTCAGATTGTTGTTAACAATTAATTTAGCTGTTTGGTTAGAGTAGATCACCTTTATACCTTCTATGAAGTTGCCCTCTATCCCCATTTCCTCCATAGACTTTAACAAAAACTGCCATGAAACGTTATCGAACGCTTTTTCAGTGTCTATAAACAGTAAGGCCACTGGTACTTCATTTTTAACTTCTAGGTATTCTATGATATTTATAATATGTCTGACATTGTCCTTTAACTGTCTATTTGGGAGGAATCCGGCTTGGTCTTTATGTATGACATCTTTTAAGCAATTTTTGAGTCTGTCTGCCATTATTCCCGCAAAAAATTTATAATCATTGTTCAGCAATGAGATAGGTCTGTAATTTTTTTATATTTAAGCTGTCCGTATCAGGCTTGGGAATCAAGGTTATATGTGCATCTTTCCACGTGTCCGGTAAGTTCCCTCCTTGCAAAATTCTATTCATCACATCGCATAGCACCGGGATTAGTTTATCCCCCAGTGTTTTGTAATATTTGGCCGATAACCCATCTGGGCCTGGGGCTTTGCCCAGCTTCATCTTATTTATCACCTCTTTTACTTCTTCTTTCGTAATTGGTTTGTTCAGCTGTATTTTTTCATCTTCACCTATGTGTTTCCCTTTATAATCTTCAAAATACTTTCTTATTTTGTCTGGATCTTCATTTTCTCTTTTATATAGGTTTTCATAGTATTTAAGAAATGTTCTCATAATTTCCTCCGGATTTTCTATTTGCCGTCCTTCAACTTTGATCTTATTTATTACACTTTGTTTTTATCTTTTCCGCAACTGCCATGCCAGGAGTTTCCCTGTTTTGTTCGCTGATTCGAAATATCTCTGCTTCATAGATTTTATTCTCCATTCTACCTCTTGGTTAACCAATATTGAATATTGGGTTTGTAGCATCTTAATGGCTTGTTTGTTTTGTTCATCTTTAGGTTTTTTCATTAGATTTCCCTCACATATTCTTATATGGTTTAAGATGTCTTCTTTCTTTTTCTCTCTTAACTTTCTTCTAAGGCTGCTTTGCTGTATTAAATGACCCTGCATGACAGCTTTGCTTGCGTCCCAAACTATATCAATGTTGGTATCTTTATTTAAATTCCATTTAAGGTAATCTTCCAAAGTGGCCTTTGCTTTTTCAATTACCTCGGGGATCTCAAAGAGATAGTCATTCATCCTCCATCTGTAAACGCTCTGTGTTTTATTTCTAAACTAATGGAGTTATGGTCCGACAGAGTTCTTGGCTGTATATCACATTTTACGATTCTTGGTATTATACATCTTGAGACCCAGATCTAATCTATCCTTGCCCAACAGAGTTGTTGAGCTCTTTTGAGCAGATTGCCAAAAATAGCTCACCCGCCAGACCAACGCTGCCAACCACACGCATCACCGAAGCCGCCAATCGCCCGCCCAATTGGCGCAGCGGCAGCCAATTGACAGCAGCCCTTGTCGCAGTCACCAATCACCTGCCCAATCGCCACTGACAATCTCCTGCTCACGGCTGCAACCAATCGCCTGTCCCCCCTCTGCCCTATCCATGTATAAGACGACCCCCAATTTTTAACATTATTTTATAATAATTAAAAATTGTGTTATACATGGGAAACTATGGTAACTCTTCCCAATAATCCACGTTAGGGCAGTGACTTTCTTAGGTCAACTAAAACTCCAAAATCCATTGCCCAGCTCAGCTTTCAAGGTGAAGCTGTCTTGAATGCTGCCTGCAGGATGCTGAAGAGCTCTACAATGATGATGGTGATGGTTTCAAGTAGAGCAGCAGATCATTTTTTAAAAAGTTAAATGAAGTGTTCAACTTAAAACAACTACTATCCACTGCTCTGCTTTAGTAAAATAAATAAACAAATCCAGAACTCTTCAGTGCTCCACAGGCATCATTCAAGACAGCCTCATTTCATGAAAGCCCCATGGACTTAGTGGAGAGAAACTCAGAGATATAGGGAAGCATAGAGAGACAGGGGACAGAAAAGTGAAGAGCAATACAAGGCTTTGTGGGGGCCAAATCTGACCCAGATGCTCTATTGATATTGTGGGTTGACTTGGGAAGGGTAAAATTACCCCTCAATTTGCCTTGTTCTCCAGCCCCAGTACTGCATTCTGCTATGTTTGGGTGAACAAAGAACTGCATCACAAAATCCAGACAAGTATGAAATCCAAAAAGTAATTTCATTCTGATCCACACATTTGTCCAAGAGATGCAAATCAGGCCAGGCCACGTCAGAATTCACAAAATTTGGAATTCCTAAATTCAAATGCCCATTACTGTATTGTATTGTACTGTATTGTATTGTATTTGCGATGTGCAAATATTACTGACCTACTGTCGTCTTCTGCTTCCCTTGTTGTTTTTAAGCAACGTTCTAAAAATAAAAATGGATACGTGGATCAGTTTTTAAAACAGAAGTTTCATACGCAGTGCTTTGCAAGCAAGAAACACATGTTTATATTCCAGTTGTTATGAAATGCAAAAAAAGGTGTGCTTTCATCCAGGGATGATAACAGAACTGCCAGACCCTGAACTTGGGAACACGGAGAGAAATACCTTTCCATTATCCAAAGATAACTACATTTCACTTCACACATCAACAGAACTATTCCTCTCCTCTTGGACACGCTTTTAAATAGCTGATCGCTGTCTCCATCCGCTCTGCCAAAACTTCCCTCCCCTAATTGCATAGAGCCCCCGAGCACTACCAGACCCTGAAATACGTCCCCTGACTCTTTTCCTCGCGCTTGAACTGGTGGAACATCTTCCTACCTCTTATTCTCTGCAATCCCGCCCCGGCAATAGCTCAAGGTACTCCAAATAATTGTCCTGCCCTGTGTTGCTAAATCTCTTAAAGCAACTAAACTGGTTGCTGGTTGTTTTCTGGGCCCAGTTCAAGGTGCTTTCTTAGACATTTTAAGCCCAAGAAGGAAATGTTATTCCACACTGAGTTGAGCTGCCTGTGCTCTAAAGCCAGAAGATGGTTGGTCCTGATGGTCCTTCCTCAGTTTGAGGAGTGTGGCACAGAGGCCCAGGAAAGGGCCTTCTCAGTGGTGGCTCCTCATACTTGGAGAGCCCTCTCTGGCTTCATCTCTTTATACTTTCAGGTGGCCTGTTAGGACAAACCTTTTCCAGCAGGGTGTTTTGAGGAAAAGAGACCCAGCCGCTGCCTCTAGTAGCAGTAATAACCACCGTTGTTTGCTGACTTGTTGCTATGTATGTTTTAAAGCAGGCACCCCAACCTTCAGCCCTCCATATGTTTTGGACTACAATTCCCATCATCCCTTACCACTTGTCCTGTTAGCTAGGGATCATGGGAGTTGTAGGCCAAAAACCTAGAGGGCCGCAGATTGGAGATGCCTGTTTTAAAGGATTCTGCTGCTTTTATTTTATTTATTTTTCCCCTCTATTTGCCTGTTGTAAACTGCCCTTGGGTTGCGCAAAGGGTGTTAGTATGGTCAAAAGAACGAGTCTAAATGCTTAAAAGAAGATAAAGGTGGCAACAGCCTCTGAAACGATGAACCCAGTTCCTGCATTAATGCAACTGGCATGTGCTGGATGTCTTTCTCCCTCCCCCCCAATGGAAAGTGTTTTCATAAGAACGCAAGTCCAGACAGGGCAAAATTGGCAGCCTTCCTAGGACAATCTCTGAGTTTGTTTGCACTGTGGAGTCACAGGGGAGACTGGTCCTGCCAGGCCATTGTTCTCAACTGTTAATTACCGTCAAAACAGAAATAATTTGTTTTGTTCCTGGAGAGTCTGGTGTGGATTCTGTGATTAGAGGAGGCCTTTCCTCCTGAAGCTGTGTGTCTTGTCGCTGTCCAAACGCATAACATAAGGAATTCACTTTCCAGAAGATGGGGGTGGCAATTTTAGCTTAGCCGCGGGGTGTTTTTTTTTAAGAACTGGAAAATACCAGATCTAGACCAACCCAGGGAATACCCAACCCAATCCTGTCAGCTTCCTCCCCTTCCTTGGGCTCAGTCTTGCCTTTGTACAAATGAGCAGGGAGAAGAATGGGGACCAAACAGAAATGAGTTGGTTCTGCTGAGGGCTGGGCAGCCCATGAGGTGGACTGAAGCAGCCATCTTGGGTGGTGGAATCCCATGCTACAGCTTCAGGTGAGATCTCACCGCCAGCCGCTGAGCAAGGCCTCGGCGAAGGGCGCAGTCTCTCTCCACCTCACCTCAGGCAGCGAAATGGGACAGGCCATCCCTAGATTTGCCTGCCATTTACCCTGGTTCCACCTCCTGTTGGGCTTCCTGCTTTCTGTTCTATCAGTCCTAAAGGGAACCAGCCACCAACTGGTGTTTTCTCTTTCTTGGTGATTTACGTAGGTGGACCTAAGTTACACTGGGACCCTTTAGGAAAGCTCCTTGGTGTAGTGAAATGGGTCCATTTGAGGCCCAGGGAGGGCATGGCTGTACTGAGATTGTGCAGAGGCTTTTAGAGTCTGATGCAAAGTCACAGGCCTGACAGAAGCTTTCAGGCTATCTATCAGACCTGTTGCACTGACATCATTGCCAAAACTCAAGTTTCCATTTTCATAGAATGGTAGAGTTGGAAGGAATCCTGAGGGTCATCTCAACTAAAGCATCCATTTTGTCAAAGGTTAGCCAGCTGACAGACTGCTTTGCCCACACTTTATATTTCCTGCTACTCGCTAGAGATGAAAATGGATTCAGTTTGCCTCCAAAAGGCAGGCTTCTCCTAATCTGGAGTTTCCAAAACAATCTGAGAACTGAAACACAGCCATCCCTTGAAATTTGTGCTTGCCTGAATTTTGCAATGTAGTTCGCAGGCCAAAAAAAGGGGGGAAAGAAACTGCATAGTGCTCAATAGGCAGCCTATTGGTGAAAATAATGCATTGCGTTAAGGAGAATTGCTTTGCAAACATGTATGTTAGCCAAGATTGCATACAGAAATGTGCACATCCAGAGAAGTTTGCACTAAGATGCTGATGATTTCCACGGGGACCTAAAACAAAACCTGCAAACTGGTGTGGAAATGTGGCTCACCCATCTTTGTTCCTCCTGGTCCTCTGATCCAGGGTTCACCCCCCTCCACCTTCTGCAAGTTGAGCCAGTCTCCAAAACTTTGCTCCCCTCTTTCCCCAGGCCACCTAGTATGCAACAAACAGAACTCCCAGGCAATTTGCTTGTTTAAGAAAAGGCTAAGGTGGGAAATAAATTTCCATTAATTCAGAGCCACAGTCTGACAGGAGAGGCATAAAGTTATCAAAGCAAATATGAAGGAGGGAGGCTCATTTACATGCTAGCTGAGTGTGTCCTTCAGTGATGACTTTTTGGACCAAATAGATCTACTGCTCCTTGAGATCTTCAAGCCACGTGTGTGTGTGTGTGTGTGTGTGTGTGTGTGTGTGCACGCGCTCACGCGTGCGTTCGCATGCGCACACAAACACACATTTTCCTACACCTTTCCCCACAAAATGCTTCCCTACATCCAAGAATGCCTGATCAGTCTTTCAAAGGCTTAGTTTGTGTAAAGGATGCAAACAGCTAACTCATTTTTTAAAAATTATTATTATTATTATTACCGCCCTATACTCGAAGGTCCCAGACCTTTATTTGACACCAGAAGAAGGAGCACTCCTGCCTGCCAATGTCCTCCCCCTCCTTAGTCTCAGTATTGCCTTTTGCATATCCTGCAAGTGTACTGAGGGGAAAAGGGGACATCCCATTTTCTATCACCAGAGAACGGCAGCCATTTTGGTTGTTGTGATCTCATGCGATTTTACTGCGCTAACCCCACCCCACCCCGCAAAAAAGCGTCTTTTTCAGGGCTGCAATTTTGTGTGGCGCCCCAAAGCACGTGTTTTTGGGTTCCATGCCTGAAAAGGTGCTTTGGGTAGGGGGCACGGCAGAAAATCACACCAGGTCACAGCAACCAAAATGGCTGCCATGCTCTCATGATGATGGAGTCCCAGATTTAGGCTCCAAAGTATTGGAGGGTAGCCTTTGCAGAACTCAGCAGGGAGGAGGAAGACGGGGAGAATAACTAGAATTATTTGCCACTCCTGCCATTGGTTCTGGCTCCACATATCAGTGGCTCTGGCTCATAGCTGTCAATCTTCCCTTTTTTGCGTGAAATTCCCTTATGCCAGTGCCATTTCCTGCTGCTTCCCACTACTATTCCGGACTGTTAGATATCCCATAGACTGTCCCTGGGACAGGTGAGGCCGCTGATCCCTTATTTTCAAGGCTGCTGATCCCTTATTTTCAAATCTGAAAGTTGACAGCTATGCTCTGGCTCCACTTCCTGTTGGGCTCCCTGCCTTCTGCCCCACTGGTCCCAATGGGGCACCATACATCACTGCACAAGCCTACAATTAGCCAGGGCCCGACAGATATAACAGGTGGTCTCAGCTGCAAAGCCCATCCTTCTCGGAATGGAAACAAAGAGAAGTTAAGTCAAAAGCTACGAGCAGAGAAAATTGTGGCCCTGCCTTTCAAGCCCAGGTAGCAGGCATCCCTTCCCAAATGCAATTACTTTGGGTGAATAAGACAAGCAAAAATGGATGCCAAGCTTCCCATCAACAGCCAATAAATCCAGCTCAGGGTGGTTTATGACTCTCCCTCCCTGATCCTCCAGACAGAAATTGACCTCGAATGTTTATGTTATATTAAGTCTGGAGAAACAGGGAAACGTTCAAAGTACGGGTCTGCAGGAGGAAACAAACTTCATTTGGCGGAGCTCAAGAGGGCATCCCTGAGTTGTTCCCCAAGTCCAGCAGGGACCAGGTCCAGAACTGCTTTGCTTCAGCAAGGCAGCTCCCAAGGCCATCCTTTCCAAAAGCCAAAGGAAGCCACTTGACTCAGGCAGCAGATCAGGCAGTGGAGGCTGGTTCAAATGGGACCAACCATGGTTTTCCCTTGGTCAGCCACCACCTGCCTGCTTCCTTTTTTCCCCAACCAGGCTCTTCTGGCCAGCTTCCTCCTCCTTAGACTCAATGATGCCTTTCTAGAACACAGCAGGAAGATGGAGGAAGAAGGGAATGGAATTGGAATGGCTCTGCCTGCCATTGGCTCTGCTCTGCCTCCACCTAATTTTTGACACCCTGCCTCCCACCCTGCCAATGGGCACCAGCTGCCACTAAGATTTGGTTGGTTGGTTGGTTGCAATTCTATCCCATCTTATTTCTGCAAGAAGCTCAAGGTGGCATACATGGTGTGTCCTGTCCCCCGTCCCCCAACTCATTTAATCTCTACCTCTCTCCATATGAACCAACCCAGACTCTGCAATCATCCTCTGAGGCCCTTCTCTTCGCAAGAGGTCTGGAGGGTGGCAACACGAGAACAGGGCCTTTTCTGCAGTGGCTCCTCAGTTGTGGAATTCTCTCCCCAGGGAGGTTCACCAGGCGCCTTCATTATACACCTTTAGGCACCAGGCAAAAATGTTCCTCTTCAAACAGGCCTTTGGCTGATTGACATGTCAAGCCCTTGTGGGATGGGAGGAGGTTATTGGTTTGTTGTTGTCCTTAATTTTATTATGTATTTTGTGGTTTTATATCTTTTATTTTTATGTTGTGAACTGCCCAGAGATCTATAGATGAAAGGTGGTATACAAATAGAATAAAATAAAATAGCCCTGTGAGGTAGGTTAGGCGGAAAGGCAGTGACTGGCCCAAGGTCACCCAGGGAGCTTCATGGCCAAGTAGCGGTTTGAACCCGTGTCTTCTAGGCCCTAGTCCAACACTCTAACCACCACACCACACTGGAGGCAGATCTACACTCATGGTTTTTAACGTTCGCAATGCATTATTTTTAACGTTCATAATGCATTATTAAAATGTGACACCAGAGGTCTCTGCGGAACAACCAGAAACCAGAAACCAGGTAGACAGTGTTTCAACTATAGACTCAGTATACTTCTACGGACTTTCAAAGATTGACAGACGTGTGTTCATTTGATTTCAAATATATTAGAGAATTTACAAGTGTACACAGTTTGTTTTTGTTGTATATTATGCAATAAGAATTGCAGTGCTATCTAGCATGCTGGTCTTCGTGTTGCTTGTGTCGTTTGTTGGCTCTCAGGAGAGGCAGCAAAGGAACATAGGATGCTGTCTTACACTGAGTCAAGCCGCTGGTCCAGGTACAGTATTGCCAACCCTAACTGGCAGCAGCTCCCCGGGGCTTCTGGTAGGCGTCTCCCCCTGCCTAGAGACACCATTAAGGATTGAGCTTGGGCCCTTCCACATGCAAAGCAGATGCTCCACCCCTGAGCCAGCTACAGACCTTCCCCGTCCAACTGCTTCTGGTGACATCATCCATGCATTTGCGTTTGGTTGAAATAGTTCTGCTTATTTTATTTTTTTACGGGTGCTCTCTAAACCTCTGTGTTGTGTCTCGCCCTTTTTTCAGGAAAGGAGCCCAAGCCATGTCCTGGAATCTGCAGACTTTGCAGACCTGCTGGCCACCTGGACCGAGTATTATCCCTACGAAGACACCACGCTAGCTGACAGCGCTCTCCCTGCGCCCTGTTACAGCACATTTTGCTCCTCGGTCGGCGGCGTCATCCCGACGTTCCTGGTGGTAGCCGGCACTTTGGGCATCCTCGGCAGTCTCGCCCTGGCCATTGCCTTGGTCATGTCCTTCCAGCTCTGGGAGCAAACCGGGCTCATTCTCACAACGCTGTCAACTGCCCTCTTTGCCACCATCTTGCCGTTTTTCGCGGCCGGGATCAGCTGGGGCTGGACCTTTGGGGACGGGCTCTGCCAGGCGGCACAGGCCATGAAGTATGGGTGCCAGTTTGCCCAAGGGCTCTTGGTGGCTGCCTGTGTGTGTCCAACGCCCAAGGCCGCCCTTCCTGGCTGCCTCTTGCCTCTCGTTCTCTGGGTCACAGGCTTCCTGCTTGCAATCCCCGTAGCCGTGATCCATGGCACAGGGAAAGACGGGGAAGCAATATGTGCCCTGAGACAGGCACCTGAGCTGCTCTGGTGGTCTCTCACTCATCTCATCTTCTGGATAGCTGTTTTCTACATCCTCCCAGCGGGGGTCGCTCTGGCCAAGGTGGCGCTGAAGTGGGAGAGGGCTGGGTGGCACCCACCCGCGGTCATCGCTTGGCTCTTCTACCTTCTCTGGGCGCCGTATGGAGTGGCCCTGATCCTGGACAGGCTGCTGCAGATGAACTTGCTCACCCATACTTGCAGCTTGCAAGAACATCTCAGCTACTTCCTGGGGCTATCCGAGGGGCTGGGGGTCCTGCACTGCATTCTGTGCCCCTTCTTAGTTCTAGGGATGGTCATCCGTCACCGAAGGGCTGCCCAATGAGGCAGGCAATAAATTCGGGGGGGGGGTGTGCCCAGCTACAATCAACAGAGCTTTAATCTACAGATCATTTTGTATCTGCTTCTGCCTCTGCAACAAAGCCTGGAGGGTGGCGGACTTCCTTAGAATTTCCTAGTAGCCAAGCTTGCTGAATAAATAAAGTTCTGCAGTCAGGCAATCCCAATTCTGCTTCCAGAAATGATGGATTCTGAGATGTGAATTCTGCAAAAATGGGCTATTCCGCCTCTGGAAATTGAAGCGAGGCCACATTGTGCACATGCCACATACCACAAGTGTGGGAATTTTATTCAGACACCCTTTCAGGCAGTGACAGACCTACATTTTGGGCACCCTGAAACTTTAAATGTTATGAGGACCACTTTGCAACCAGCAACAAGGTCTGGGTAACCACTGTTATTGTTAAAAAAAAAATTACTACTACACCTCAGATTTTGATTAAAATTGCTGTACTGGGCTATCTCACATGTCCTATGCCATGTAGTTTTCAAGTTGTGCGACTCAAATTGGGTCTAGCAGACCCAACCTTTTCAAGCCACGTGGACCCACCTTGGATCAGGCTGTGTCCTGGCCGATGTCTGGTTTTCAACATTGTGATATATCTGCAGCTAAATACCATGCTATGCTGATATATCACAATATCTGGAATGTATCTTGGCTGCTTCTTCCTCCCCACCTTAGGGGAGGGAGGAGCAACCGAGATACATCACCAAACTCAAGCTCCCATAGGAATCCCAGTTCATTCAAATTGCTCAACAGGAAGACTCCCGCCCCTCAGCTGAGTGAGCCCCCATACCATTCCAGCTTGTGCGAGCCAGAGGGGGAGGGGCTTCTTCAAAGACGCACACAAGGAAGGAGATGGAGCCCCAGAAGGTCCTCACCCAGAACCTTTCTCTGACTCTGTCTGTTTGCCTGCCTGCCTGCGCCTTTGCCATCCGCAGGCAATTTGAGCTGGTGCAATGTATTGCCAGCTCAAACTGTCTGGAACCAGTATCGCGATCTGAGCACCGTACTGTTTTCATTTATTTTCAATTATTTATTTATTTGATTTTTAAAAAATAAATATGTAAACGTACATTTAAAAAAAAAAATCAAAACCCAAATATCAAGATTGCTCTGAATCTCCTGACTCCACCACCCCATCCCTTCCATGGGTCCAAATAATAATATTTACAAACTGCATATCAATACTTGTCCAAATTTTTGTCCTTCCAAACTTTCCGTTACTTTTGCAAGTGTGATTAAAATCCTGCTAATACAATGGTCTCGTAAATAAATCTTAAACTTTTCCCATTCTTTTTTTTAAGTTCTTGTCTTCTTGATTTCTGAGCTTCCCATGTAATTTTGCATTTGTGCATAGTCCATCAACTTGGTTTGCCATTCTTGTTTAGCCGGGGTCATTCCTTCCATTCATCTCTGGGCTAGCACCATGCTGTTTTCAGACAATGTGCCAATATATCGCTCAGCTCCAGTGCTGGCCCATCAGTTGAAGACTGATGCTCTAGAGTGAATTCAGCCTGCCAAATAATAGGCAAATGAGGGAGAGATGAGGGAAGTGGCTTTGGGTAAGAAACCTGCCTAATAATAATAATAATAATAATAATTTATTATTTGTACCCCGCCCATCCAGCTGAGTTTCCACAGCCACTTTGGGCGGCTTCCAACCAAGATTAAAAATACATTAAAATGCCACACATTAAAAACTCCCCTAAAGAGGGCTGCCTTCAGATGTTTTCTAAATGTCAGGTAGTTGTTTATCTCTTTGACATCTGATGGGAGGACATTCCACAGGGCAGGCGCCACTACCGAGAAGGCCCTCTGCCTGGTTCCCTGTAGCAGTTTTCCACAATGCCAAGTTAGGAAGGTTCCATGGAAGAAATATAGTTAGAGCAACAATACAATCTGTTGCACAGGATCCAGCCATTCTGCAACCTGGTGGCCCCCAGCTCCCATCCTCCTTGGCCATATTGCAGGAAAACAGAGCCACGGTTCTTTGTGCTAGGAGTCTTCAAAGTTGACTCTCTCTCTCTCTTTCTTTGTTAGGGGTGGGCATAAGTAAAAAGATAAGGAGAACCCGGCTGTGTGATCGGGCCAAAGGCTCCTCCATCCCATCTTCCAGTTCTCTTGCCTCTCCCTCTTGGACAACCAGGTAGAATGGCTGCAAGTGGCTGTGTTTCAGGGAGGGGAAAGATCTTCGTGACTTTTGGCCTCCTCCAAGCCAGCCCATCAGAAGGGCCTATGATAGAGTTTTGCTTGCTGGTCCCAGTTTCCTTTCCCCCCACCACTACCTTGGAGAGAAACTCTGTGACCGTTCTACCTGAGAATATATATTTGCCTCACACCACATTGGACCATCTCATCTTAAGACACAGATTGTCTCTTCTTCCGCAGGAGAATAAAGGCCTGGCTTCCTTCTCTCCTGGCGTCTCTCCCAGAATGCCTCTCGGGACCATCATTCTTCTTCCATCTCCAGGGATCGGTGCCAGCGCTATGGGCAGAGAGAGGCTGCATGGAAGCAGCAAAAAACGGATCCTTCTTCCCTCCTTCTCCTCCCGCCTCCCCCATGAAGATGCAGTATGTTTTGCTGGAGAGATTCCGGCTGAAATGTGACTCCCCCCCCCCCCAACCTGCCAACGGGCCATTTGACTCAAGGCAGGATAGGAGGGCACCCTGGGGCCTATTTCTGTTTACTAGCGGGTAGCAGAATTGCTCGCTCCATTAAGGCTGGCAGTAGGACTGCAAGGCAGGCAGACTCTCTTCCTGCTCCCAGGCCTTGGGACAGAAGATGCTCACCCAAATTTGTTGTGATGCTTGGACTGGAACTGCCTCACAGAGTCGAGGGGGGACACATCAGCGCAGCACTGGAGCACTTGTCCCCAGTTCAATTTACAGCCTCTCAACAGCAACAACAAACTCAATTTATGGAAGTTTTTCTCTGCCCCTCTCATAATACCATACCCTCCAACAGTGCTTTCTTTCTTTAAAAAATGTTTAGGGGTACTCTCAGTTTGACTAAAGAAAACCACCATTTTATAGTTCAAATCGGGGAAAATAAATACAGTAAATGGACAAAAGTACAAAGAACTTGCATTACCTCATGATGATGAAAAATAGTAATTTTCCTACTCATATTGAAATACTGCCCCTCAGTGAGGCGAAACTTTCATCAGTAAAACACCACACATACACATTCCACACTGCTTCACACATCAAACGCTCACTTCTGTCTGAGACTTAGAAAACACTGGGAATGGAAATAAAGCTGCCATCGGAGGCAGTAACAATGAAATTGACCAATCACCGTGCTAGATTCCAACTCCTACTTCACACATTCAACACTCACTTCCGCCTGAGACTCAGGAAACACTGTGACAGGAAATGAGGCCGCCATTGGGGGTAGCAACGGAACTGACGATTCACCGTGCTAGAGAAGAAACTAAAATATTTTTTTAAAAATAGTTTATTCTCCCGTTAGATTCACAAAATGTTTAGGGGTATGCATACCCCTGCGTTACCCCAGAAAAAAAGCTCTGCCCTCCAACATCTCAAGTCCCAAAACCAGGACCCATGTCTTCCGGCCTGTACTGTGTGCGAGTCGTGTGACCTACATGAGATCATGGAGCCCAAAATAAGCGCTTTGGGGAGGGGGCGTGCGACATTGCAGCCCCGAAAAAGTGCTTTCTTCAGGGAAGCACTTTTGGGGGCAAGATCTCGGCACAGAATCACGGCAGATCCCAGCACCCAAAATGACTGTCGAGTTCCTACTCGAGAAAACGAGATGTCCTGTTTTATTCTGAGATGCTTCTGTGGTGTTTAATAGTAGAACTCAGAGCCATCCAACCGGGTTGGATGCTCAAAGTTTCTGCACAGGCAAAAGGAAAGCAGAATTCACTGCCACAGGACATAGTGATGGTTACTGGCTTGGATAGCTTTAAAAGAGGACATGGCGAAACCCATGGAGGATGTGGCTATCAATGGCTGCTAGCTGGGAATCACAATCGAGGAAGAGCTGCTGTTGTGTCCAGTTCCTGCTTGTGGTTTTCCCACTGAGGCATCTGGTTGACCAGACCACCACAGGGGCGAAGGTCTCTTCCCCCCTCCCTTAAAATATTTGAGGGAAACCCCTCCCCCAATGTTGATGAGCTTTGCCATTCAAATGGTGTTCATGTGCCACGTCTTGTGATCAATTGTGTCCGTTCGTCCCCGCCGCCATATTTTATTCAAGTTGGGATCCCAGTTGTTCACTTTGGGAACATGATGCTCTATTAGGTGAGCCTCTGGCCTGACCCAGCCACTGGGCTCTTCTGATTACCTGACAACACACTCATGATTTTAAAGGTAAAGGGACCCCTGACCATTAGGTCCAGTCGTGACCGACTCTGGGGTTGCGGCGCTCATCTCACTTTATTGGCCGAGGGAGCCGGCGTACAGCTTCCGGGTCATGTGGCCAGCATGACTAAGTCGCTTCTGGCAAACCAGAGCAGCACACGGAAACGTCGTTTACCTTCCCGCTGGAGCGGTACCTATTTATCTACTTGCATGTTGACGTGCTTTCGAACTGCTAGGTTGGCAGGAGCAGGGACAGAGCAACGGGAGCTCACCCTGTCGAGGGGATTCAAACCGCCGACCTTCTGATCAGCAAGTCCTAGGCTCTGTGGTTTAACCCACAGCGCCACCCGCGTCCCTTACTCATGATTTTACTCTTGTGCAATTTACACGAGGAGGGTGGTGCACAGGGGTGGTTCTTGCTTCCAACACAAGCCTGATCCCACACACCCAGTCGCTCAGCCGACCATCCCATGGCACAGTCTTCGGGCCAACCTTTCAAATTTTCAAACTTGTGCCACAGTTCTAATGTACAGAAAGCAATAGGAGGAGTGGATCCTTCCTCGGGGCCAACACTCTCCCCCTCCCCCCTCACGGTCCCAAGTACCCTCTCGCCCCATGTGGCTTCTCCCCTGGCACAACAGTGCACTTAGTGAACCATTATTTGATCAGAGCTCTCAGCACATCACCTTTTAAACACGCACACATACACAGTTGCTGTACTCCTAAACCAAGGATTGATTTGCCCATCTACAGAACATTTTACAAGGCTGCATATTAATCCCGCCGCATGCTCTCTAACCGGAATGCAAGCTCTAAAACATCCTGTACCCTTTGCTCCTTACATGCTTTCATTAACTATTGTTCATTGGGACTTAAATACACATCAAATTAAATGCACTTATCAAAATCGGGGGCAGAGGGAAATGCTCTTCCCGGATGTCGGCATTCTTGGATTCAGACTGCCCTCTGCTGGCTGGGATGAGCGCTGCGGAACATACACCGAGATGGAGATAGGCTGACGTCTCCAGTCTTTCAGGGAGGGCATTTATTTACAGTGGTACCTCGGTTTAAGAACAGTCCTGTTTAAATATGATTCGGTTTACAAACTCCGCAAAACCGGAAATAGTATCCCAGTTTGCAAAATTTACCTCGGTCTAAGAACGGAACCCAAACGGTGGAAGGGCACCGGCGTCAGGAGGCCTCATTAGGGAAAGCGCGCCTCAGATTAAGAATGGTTTCGGTTTAAGAACGGACTTCCGGAACGGATTAAGTTCGTAAACCGAGGTACCCATGTGCTAGGATTCCGGATGCCCTGATGTGTCTAAAATGAGAAAGGCCATGCTAAGGCTCTCTGAGCAATGGAGGCACAGCTAATCTGCATTAAGTGATCCTGAGTGTGCACTTTCGCTTAGTCCAAACTATTTTCAAAGAGGGCCAGATTTGATGAAGTGAAGGGCCATGAGGGCCGACCAAAGGGCCAACCAGAGTTGTTGAGCTTTTTTTAGGATTGAAGTTGTTGAGGGGTTTTTTTGGGATTTTAACCCAAGAAATAAGCTGCCCCAGGGCCCCCGAAATGGACTTTAGACATGCCTGGCTTAGAAGGAACAAGGCCAAAAAAAAAAAAAGAGGCTGTAAAAATGAAGACTCCCATCAGCCCCACCCAGAATGGACAGTGGACAGGAACTGAATCCAACTGCATCAGGCCAAAGGCCCCCTCTACTCATAGTGGCCAACCAATTATGTCTGCCTATGTGTGGCATCATCTACACTCAACACCTGTGCCGTCTCCAACTACCTGCGCACATGGGTGCAAAAAAGGGTACACGCCCCTGATTCACACTGAATGACAGTGGCTGTCCAGGGTTTCAGGCAGAGGTCTTTATCAGCCCTACCTAGTGTCAGGGACTGGGCAGAGGAGGAATGGTGGAGACCGCCTCCCCAGCCTGACCCTTCCAGAGGAGGAGAAGAAGACAGTTCAGAATTACAGCAGAAGTTTGAGGGAGGTCACAGCTCAGAGGCAGATGAGGGGGAAAGCTGGGAAATAATGGGAGAGGAGGAGGAGGAGGAGGAGGGTGACAGATGATGCACTCAGTGTCTTTAGAAAGCATTCCAGACCCCCCCTCCCCCAGAACCCAGAGAGCAATGAAAGTAGGAGAGCAAAGAGCTCAAAGGCAGAGGGCACCTATAGTGATGATGCATGAGGGAGTGGGAGAGATGGAGGGGGTGGACACTAACTCAGGACAACGCCATTATTCCAAGAGGCTGCATTCCCAAGCCTCTCTCTGTGAATATTGAATAAAAAGCAGATGGTAAGGGCTTTTCCTTGTCTTGTCCATTCCTGGCAACCTGCCATGGGGGTTGGTTCCTCCGCCGCCTAACACCTAGAGATGTTGGGGGTTGAACCCGGGACCTTCTGCTTGGCTGCTGGTCAGTGGATTCTTTTATTCCAAGGCTAATATGGAGTAACTCTCCATCTCTGAGTTCCCCCTGACAACTCCTCAAAGCGACTCTCCGAAACCTCGTGAAAAACAGGGTCTTCCGCAGTCCAGTTCACCTGAGATTCTGAGGAACATAGCACAGGAACATTGAGAAACATGGAATCATAGAGATGGAAGGGATCCTGAGGGTCATCTAGCCCAACCTCCTGCAATGCAGGAATCTCAGTTGAAGCATCAATGGCAGATGGCCTTCCAATCTCTGCTTTAAAGCCTGCAGTGAAGGAGAGTCCACCACCATCTGAGGTAGTCCATTCCACAGCTGAACAATTCTTGCCACCAGAACCTTCTTCCTGATGTTTAGTCAGAATCTCCTTTCTCGTAACTTGAAGCCATTGGCTTGGGTCCTGGCTTCCGGAGCAGGAGAAAACCATCTTGCTCCATCTTCCATGTGACAGCCCTTTAGATATTTGAAGGTGGCTTTCATATTGCTCTTCTCCGTCTCCTCTTTACTTGGCTAAACATACCCAATTCCCTCAACCGCTCCCCACAAGGCTTGGTTTCCAAACCCTTGATCATCCTGGTCACCCCCCTCTGCATATATTCCAGCTTGTCAATATGCTTCTTAAACTGTTATGCTCAGAACTGCGCACAGTACTCCAGGCGGGGTCTAACCAAGGCAGAACAGCGTGGTTTTCATGTTTGTGAGAATCAATTCTAGAGATGTAACATGTTCAGAAATGGCCCAGGGGGGATGTTTATCACCATTTACTTCACACACACACACACACACACACACACACACACACACGAAACCTTTGGGAAAGATTGAAATACAGGCAATACTTACCTCCTTATCAAACTAACATTTAGTTTGCTGCTTTTAGAGCATACAGTGGTACCTCGGGTTAAGAACTTAATTCATTCTGGAGGTCCGTTCTTAACCTGAAACTGTTCTTAACCTGAGGTACCACTTTAGCTAATGGGGCCTCCTGCTGCCCCATTTCTGTTCTCATCCTGAGGTAAAGTTCTTAACCAGAGGTACTATTTATGGGTTAGCAGAGTCTGTAACTTGAAGCGTCTGTAACCCGAGGTACCACTGTAAAAGGCATCCCTTGTAACTTAACATTATTATTATTATTATTATTATTATTTATAACCCACACCCACCCCTGGCCAAAACCGGGCTCAGAGCGGCTAACATCAAATGTATAACACATTAAAATAAACACACATTTGGCCATGGAGCTCACTGAGTGATCTTGGGTCAGTCACCAGCTCTC